TTTTTTTTTTTACTTTTTTTCGACTGTTTTTTGACTTTTTTTTTGCCTTTTTCCACTTTTGACGTTTTTTTTGACTTTTGTTGCCTCCAGTAATCCGCCAAGGCTAGGATACGCACATTTGACTTTTTTTTGACTTTTTTTTTGCCGGCCCAGCCCCGCATGCCCCAGCCCGCCTGTAGCCTGCCTGAGCTCGACCTCAACCTGACCCCTCCGCCAGGAGCCAGCCGCAGCCAGCCCAAAGCCTGGCCCTGGCAGCAACCTGCCCGGGTGGCGCAGGGTTTGGGGCGCGGCCAGTCCTAACGTCACTTTCGGAACCAATGAAAAACTATCAATCAAGAAAACAGCTGCCAGGGATTGGGTGCTGCCCCTAGCTCCGGGGTGCTATCCTGACATGGCTCCTGCTGCTAGCCCGTGGGCTCTGGCTACTATCCTGGCCTGGCGCAGGGTTTGAGGTTGGGACGTGGCCCCTGGCCTGACCTGGGCTCTGGCTGCTATTCTGGCTGCTATCCTGACCTGGCGCAGGGTTTGAGGTCAAAATCTGAGCAGCAGCTGGCTTGGGGCTGAAGAGACCCTGGGACAGTGGGTGGGGCTGGGTAGGGATCCTGCGACTCTGGGGTAGGGGGTTGGGGCTGGCTTGGGGCTGGAAAGGGTGAAAGTTGAACAACCAAAAAGGTTCTAGAATTTTGAATAGACTGAAAGCTTTGAGCCATAAGCAAAAAGGCTGCAATTTGCCTTGTTACAAGTTTTTCCTTGACTTGTTTGCCTATGCAAAGTTTTTGTTTGACTTTTTTTGACTTTTTGTTGACTGTTGACATGTTTTGACTTTTTTTGACTTTTCAATTTGACTTTTTTTTGACTTTGACTTTTGGGATTGACTTTTTTTGGACTTTTTTGACTTTTTTTAAATTTTGAAAACAGGTTCTTTCCTATGAAAGCATTTTATAAAAATAAAGAGAACCGACCCGTTAAATCTTGATACGCTGGCCTCCCTAAATAAGGGGTCTAACCGGTTTGAGGTGCATTGGAGACTCAGGAAATCTGCTCTTCAAAAAGCTGCGCCTGCCACGAAAAAATACATTTCTAGGTTCACACAGCTGCCTCTGCCTTGGAATCTGCACTTCTACTTCCAGGTTCACAACATGCCTGCCACGAAATCTGGACGTCAAGGTTCACAGGACGCTGTTGCCGTGAAATCTGCTCCACGTTTGCAAAGTGGCCCAATTGCCACCCAATCTGCATTTGGAAGTTGACAAATAGTGGTGCACCTGCCACGAAATCTCTGCAATTCCACGACTTCCACGTTCACAAAAAACTGCACCAAATTCAAGTCTGCACTTCCACATTCATCACAAAGCGCTGCGCTTGCCCCACTTCAAGGTCCGCCAAGCGCTTGCCTGCCAGGAAATCTGCAATTCAATTTCGGCAAAATGTTACTCCGCCACAAAATCTGCACGTTCACAAGATGCTGTGCTTGCCACGACATCTGCACTTTGAGGTTCACAAAGCGCTGCGCCTGCCACGAAATCTGCACATAGAACAGCCCTGCCAAGGCGTTTCACAGCAAGAGCGCTTCCAAAGACAACATCAATCAACATGCCAAAACAAAGCTTTCACCCAAGACTTCCTCTGATCTCTGAAAACGAGCCACATGTCTAAAGGTCATGAATCACTGCACCTGCCACAAAGTCGGAGCGACCACCACCATTTCCAAAGCGCTGCGCCTGCCACGAAACCTGCGTAACGAAGTAAAACCGCTCCGATCTCCTGCACCTGCCACGAAAAATGACACGGCACCACAACGAGAGTGCAGTCGAGGAAAGTACCCGCTCAGGCCCGCCAGTATCTGTGAGCCTGTGCGTCAAAATGCCTTTTGAAGATTTCGAGGTGAATGAAAATACGATCAGACACCCGGCCTTGGCCCATACTGTAAGAAGCGCTAATGTACTAATTACACACCATTATTGGGTATTGATGCTCGTGAATAGATTTCACCAAAATGAAAACATGACCCCGCGTTCAAGGAGTGTTTCAGGATCAACCAACCTTGCCCTGAAAGAAAGAGATGGAGGGAATCCAGTGACAGTTGGTGACCGAAAATCTGGTCGGACTATCTGTGACTTTCTCATCTAGGAGACTCCAGATCCAATCCAAGCGCTTTCTTCCAACTGGAAAGTTCTCTTCAAAGCCTCCATGTCAGCAGTTTTGTTTGATGACTACGGGGCCACACTGGAAACTCACCTTTGCAAGCCTTCGCGAGACGAATTCCTGTACAAAGGGTGCCTTCGAGTCTACACAGGTATCATGTGGTGTGTTGGCGAAATGCTTCGGCACACTCTATGCGACAATTAATGTTTTCAATACTGTACAACCGCTTGGAGATCTTTGCCTATGCATGTTGCCTTCGCGAAGATGGACGCAATCTGGCTGCGCATGCCTTCGCACATGCACAAACCGTGAGACATGCCTTCGCGGGGCAACCCGCAGTTCCACTTTCAAATGCCTAAAATACCAACAAACAATGCCCATTTGTTGAGACGGTTATAGCCGTTAGCCCACTCGAGACGGGTTTCCCAAGAGATCAAGATCGAACAAATCGAACATTACAACTGCACTTCATCATTGTCTTAGCAGCAGTAGCACATCATTGAAGGACGTAATTGAAATATATTGAAATTAGAACATGAGGTAAGTAATGGTTTGCAGCTAGGAGTCATCTCCAATGACATGCTCCAAATGTGGCCATTGATCTCCCCATCCATCACCTCATGTACTGTGTAGACAATGGCAAAAAAGCCGCTGTGGCCCTGTACACAACCGACGTCAATGCCATGGATTGCGTCTTTCTCGGACACGGCATGAGGGCTCCTGGTGCAAATGGAAGGCCCCTCGACAGAAAGCGAAGGTTGAGCATCTCGGAAAGTGGACAGCCCCTCGACCATCGGCCGAAGAAATCCTGCTGCCATACTTTCCGGTCGCCGACGGAAGAACACAATCTGCTCCCAGAAAGACGACCCCAAATGCGAGCACCACCGATCAAACACCCGGCCTTAACACCGTAAGAACCCCTAGTGTGACCACACTGTTTGGGGAAAAACTCACAAGGTGTGGCTGAACATGAACGATGATGAACGAGTAAAACATGGTAAACAAATGTAAAAAGGTCTCAAGTTTGGGAACTCCAGGAATGTTTTCGAAAAGGTCCCGAATGGCTGCCACTCAGCTTCCACTCAGTCCTTTTCTGGCTGACCACGGCCACTCCATGAGGCTAGAGTGTGCTCTCAAAGATATGAAGTTCCACTGAGTCAAAGTGATAATTTCCTTGTCAATCAGCTCACTGCAAACTGGTGATAAATGCTTGTGAGGATTGTGCTTTCACGACAAACTACTAATGATAATTTGCTCGCTCCAAGAGTCATGGCAGGGCACACACCAATTTGAGACAAGTCCTCACAGCACACTTGCAAAACAACATGTATACGGCCACTGTGAGCCTTCAATGTGTTGTCCTTGTCTCATGTCTTGGAAGCCGTGGGCCAATCTCTCTGCCTGATTTGCTAGAAAGCACCACCCAAACAGGACGCCAGGGAAGAGAGAGAGAGAGAGATTCGCAACAAAAGTCAAGCTTGGTTCTTGTTCAAGCTCAGTATTTCAAGGAAAACATAGTAGAAAGAAAAAAGAGAAGCCCAGAAGCGTTTCATCGAAAGGCATCCAAGCTGCTTCGTGCAATCCTGGAACAGCCAGACCAAAGTCATGCTCAGCTTGCTACGCTCCACTTAACAATTAGCAGCTTAGCACCAAGACCATCGAAGCAGAAATGACAATTTCAGGTTTCCCATGGTTTCTTAATGTTTCTGCCATTCAAAATGCTGAATTAAGACTTGTTGCTGAGATGGGTGAGTTCAAATCACATTCAATCCGCATCAATGTTGAACTTGCCTCGGTGGTACAGGCTCGGCAAAAGACATATAAGAAGACATGTATTTTTGACATGCATGCATGTGTATATGAGTTGAACAAGGTTTAGAATCCAGAAGGACTCTTCTGTTTCAAACATCCCAAGCGAGATGAATCAAACCTGGATGCGATGGAGCATGTGTGCAACTAGGACAGTTGCAGTCCCTCTGCAAAATACCGAAGATGAGTCTGATCCGGAAGTGCTAGAGATGCTTCATCCTGGAAGCCGTGGTCTTGGTTGAAAACTTCAGCTTTCAGGCAAGGCCGCCATGAGTCACAGGGCCAACTTGCGATATGGGTGGAGCTTTATAATTTCTTCGCTGAACTCAGTAATTAGAACTGCAATGGTCGGTGACTCCCAGCGATCGTTTTGATGCAGGGTCGTTTCGGCCAGTCGTGTCTAGTTGTTTGAGCCCAACAGTCCTGCCTGGAATAGGTACCAATTTGGCCGCAGAACGAACGAGAATGGGGGCATCACTCATATTTGATTCCAAGTTGTTGAAGTAGATCGTTGAACTCGGCACTAATACGTGAGACTATTGAAGAGTTGCATCGTTGTCCCATCTGGGAAAACCGCAGAAGCCTGGGCAAAAACGAATAAGAATCGATCACGTTGAACCTCGGGACAATGTTCACTCCCATCGACTTTATAGACAACACGGAAATGGGATGGGCCATTAGGGAGCCTCACAGGCAATCGCAAGTTTCGCAGCTCTTGCAAAGACACAGTGAGAGACCAAAAACAAAGTCGGGTTCCAATTATCTTTTTAATATGAGGATTGGAGATGATTGGAGAACTGCTCAAATGAGATGACTTCTGACATCCTTTCGACCATTCACCTTGGTGTCGAACCCCTCCACGTTCACCGAACTCGGCGCTGTGAACAACGCCGACGCACCGAGGGCCGCTTTTTCCCAAGAGCCTCTGTCAATCTCAGGCATCACGCAGCAAAGAGATAAGAGAGAAAAAAAACAAAGGCTGACTTTTCAACCGCTTTCCTTTGTGATGGTCATGTTTTGGATCAATGCGTGATCGAAGTGCCCTGAAGAACGTATCCTTGGAACCAGAACTGGCGGGATCAGGGAACCCGACTGTTGAAGCGATCCAACCCGTGGACATGTGGGGTGTCTTCCCCCGCCTAGATAGGGACACATCTTGCATGACGACATCGAGACTACTGTGTCACACTGCATCAATCCCAAGATACAGTCTATCCCTCTATCATTCTCTATCCATCTCTATCTCCTCTCATACACCTGGCCCAGGAGCTTAACACACCCTTTTCCGCTTTGTGTGCAGCTTTCACCCTGGTTTGGGCCTCTCAAAGTGAAAGTCTGTCCAGGCGAGGATCTTGGAGTTTCATGTTCTCACCTCCAATCTCCTCGAATCCTCCCATTCTTTGGGGGCTTCAGCCGTTACAGTGTACAGGGGAGGCTTCCCATCCTTCTTCGAAACAGGCCAGCCTTGAGGACATCGCTCCCAAATGATACAAAACAACTGGACTTCCTCAGAGCTCATCTCAATCCAAGTCGCCTAGAACCAATGAAGGACGAAAAGTCTGGTTGTGCCCCGCAGTGTTTGCAAGCACGATTTCTACTAGGCGTGCTGTCTTAGCAACTACTCCCAACCTTCAACTGCAATCCGAAAATTTCTCCATATCCAAACTGAGAAGGGGCCTGCATGGGACAGGGATGTTCACCCAGGTCGGGAGTTCCCAGCCAGATGTCGGTCTGAAAAACAAGTCTTGAAAACGTTGCGTTCTTGCAGTAGCACAGAAAGGGACTGAATCTGCAGCGCTTCTGCTATTATAGTATAGTGATAGCACCCATAACCAGTTGAACTGTTTGTTTCGTCATTGGAAGACAATCTCATGTCTTCTCACCCAACTGGTTATGGCCCAAGCTAAGGACGGCACTTGGAATTTATTGACAAAGCAAAGAGAGCAGCATTCATTGAAACGCTGTTGGAACGGATGCCCCAACAATAGATGTCCTGCTAGCAAGTGATGTGGATGTTCTGTTTTTTCACATCGATAGCGCACACAACGACCAACCGCCACGCAAAGAATATATAGCCCAACAAAAACATGGGACCGCTAGAGTGCCCTTCTACATGGCAGGTGTCTACCCAGCGGCCGAAATTGAATCTTGTCCAAAGTGCGAAGCCTTGTTCAGTTGTGTTTCCTCTCATGGCCTTAGTACTAAGAACAAGAAGCTAGTAGGGCTCCTGGCATCGCTACTAGGAGCGATCGGACGCTACTAGGGGCTCCTGGCCTTACTACTAGGGTTTCCCCTCTCTTTGAACACGATTAGCTCTTACCTGGACGGAAACACAAGTCCTCTCACCCGTGACTTTGTGCCTGTGGGGATGAAGGGCTCGCATATTTCCAACCGGTGAGGCTAGTTTAAATTTGGAAAGCAACAGTCAGAACCACAAAGAACTCCTGGCAGCCAGGAAGCGGCTATCACTTTTCGGTCTGACGGATCGACTGAAAAACCGGTCGAAAACAAAATAGAAAAGCTGAAACCAACCACCTTCAGTATCCTTCAGTGTTGGACCTGGTTCATGCACACAAGACAAGCGCTGCTTGCACAGAACGAAGTGCACAGGTGAAGTCCGGACCCAGGATGATTTGAGGATAAAGACCCTCAGCGGCCTGGTCTTCAGGGCTGAAGGGTTGGCTATTCGGTTCGGGGAGCAGGACGGAGGGGGGGAAGAGAATGCCAGAATGCCAAAGCCGCGACAACAATGGGCAAAGCGTCCTTGCCATTTCCACCGAGTTCATAGTTGCCATATGTTGTGTCTTGGTTGGTATGATAATGACGGTGGGCCTGGTGGGTCGTTGTCCATATGGACCACCCTATCACATTGACACATCTTGGACTGCCTATCCCTTTTTTTTCAGCGTTGCTGAACGGGGAAGGCAAGACGCCTCCCAAAAGGCCGCACAGACCGTGATCGTGGGAAGAAATGTACATCTGACATCATCTCTCTCATATCTAACGCCTTGAAGAATTTGTCCCTCTTTGTTTAATCATTTTTGGGGTATGGATTGGAAGGACATGGAAGGATGACCGGATGACGGACGACAAAATTCGCCATGAATTCTTCGGATTCCAACTACCCACATGCGAGTTTCCACAATTCCGTCGCCCGTCCTTTAAAGTGCTGGCAACCTCTTCCCATCTTCGGCCTGAGCACATCAACCCTCAACATCCGACCTGTAGCGATTGGCACAAGATTCAAGCCCCCCAAAAAACGCAATAACACAAAGGCGGGTCTCTTAGATGTCTCCGCTTGTCCCACCCACCCAAATAACTAAGCGAGAACGAACGCCTGAGCGAAGGGTTCATCACAACTTACAACCGCACATATCCAAGAGCTACATATTCCAGACCAGCACATCTTCACATCTGTATTACATATCACTGCACTGTAAATATCCAAACATGTGCATCTTCACATCTGCACATGTCTCTCTCTTCTCTCTCTCCCTCTCTTCTTTTTGTGTTTTCTGTCTGCCTTTCCTTTCCCCTTCTTTCACTTCTTTTATTTCAGTTCTTTGTTTATTTTCCTTTATGTTCTGTTCTTTCCCTGTTTTCTTCCTCCCTCTATCTGTCTCTATCTCTCTCCCCTTTCTTTTCCTTTCTTTCTTAGGCCGGGGGTGGTGCCGACGAGTCACCACGAAACGAAGATCTCTTGCACTAAGTGGGGTCAAGTGTCAAAAACCGAGGGAATGTTGCCATTTCAAACGGTTCGCGGCAAGCCTCTCTCACCATCTCACAACTCTCTTTACTGTTTCATCGTAATGCAGGTATATATATATATAATATAAAAATAACATATACCTTATTACACCAGAGTAACTCTTGGGCGATCCGTTGTCTAGTTCAGATATTGGGGTGACTTGGGGTGTGCGTGTCCAAATATTGCTTTCAGGTATCAAGTATGCATGTTATAGATGTCCAGAACATATATCAGGTGGGACCACACTTACCCACCCTCAGATAATTACAGAAGGGAGACAGCAATCTGATCCAAGCCTGCGGCCGAATTGTTGAGATCAATCGAAATCGCTCGGTGCTGTCAGCTTCATCTCGGAGCGGCCAATGCATTGGCAAAGCCGACCGCCATGGAAGCCGATCAGTGCAGCATGCGGCAAAGCCGATGAAGAAATAACCACCACATTCTGCACTCTCCTACCTTCGGACCAAAATCGGAGACGGAACACTTGATTTTAAACAATGCACAACAGCACACACAAAACAGTTTGAGCAACTTTTCTAGAAACTCTATGTGTTTAGAGGTCAATGTGAGCCAAAGCAACCTTGCCTCCAAGGTCATAGGCTTCCAGAAGCACTGAGGCCGGAACCTGGGTAACGGTGTACATTAAGGTGCTCCATCGGCTCTCCACTCTGAGCATTTCAAGATGACTGAGCCTCCAGTACATCAAGCGCTTGCGGGCCATCCAGAGCACATGATCAAAAGAGATTGTCTGTGAACTGAGGCACCCCTATATATTTCTGAAAACCCCGTTGTTTCGTGTTCATCCTGTAAGCTGCTGTGATCTGATGTTGAAGACTGCAATAATTCCAAACTCCCTCCAATCAAGGAAGTCAGAGGCTAATACCCTTTATGCTGGTTTCTCCACCAACTTGAAACCAGCCAATGCAGCCCACAACTTGCACCAAGAGATGATACCAATCCTCTCAGTCCAAATGGATCAAATCGGATGAATATCTACATTTGATTTATAGAGCTGCTCCCCAAACTTGATGTCGTTTCGCAACGGGTGCCATGAACGTTTTCTCAGGAACTCACTTCACAACCATCTGGAATGCAGCTACGGAGATACTTCTATCTCAAACACAGAGGATTGCCGGCTGTGTGCAACAACTTACAGTAAGTAGAAAATAATGTGCAACAACAAGAACGAAGAGCAGAAACAATAACAACAAGAACAAAAAAACACATGAGGGGGAGAGGAAGCCAGCAGCATGCACAAGAACTGTACACATCATGGCCCTCTCTTAACACCTTCAAGCCGAGATTGAAGTCAAGGAACCCTCCGCAACAACTCATCTTTTGTACGGGGTCGTGCACACGACAAAAACAGAATGTTGAAGAAGAGCCAAAGCACACTGCTAGCTGTTTACCACGTTCTCGCAGTGAAGTATGTTGTGAAGCCAGTACACGAGGCTTTTGCTTACAAATTACCCTCATAGCCTCGCAATCCTGATAGCTGCTAGCCTTGCAAAAATACTCGTCGAGGATTTGGAACAAAAACAAAAGAAGCAAGTCAGACTCAGCTTGAAGACTGGCTTCCGTACAACAAGGAGCAAACAACAAGAAAGGGAACAGAAAGAAGAACAAACACATGAATCTGAACTAGGCATGTTCAATCGGATTTCTCGCTCATGCAAATTGGTGTAGATTTTGGTATGGAGCTCAAGTATCTGCAGAATTAGGACTTGTGAAAAAGAACACATATGACACACACGCACACACACTAGGGCCGTATACCTCCTCCTGTGTTCGGAACGGCCCCAAAGAACTTTCAGATTAACCTTGCTGTCCCAAACAACTGTTGTTGGACATCTCTGCGAAGGAAAGGTACTAAACAAAACAGGGATCTCAACCAGCATCCCACGGCACAAGTCGCTCCTTCTTTCCGCGCGCAAACACGGAAGTCAGGGATTGAGTCAGGAAGTGACTCTTCACTAAGACTACCCCGCAGGGGCTATCACCCCGGCTCCAGGGTGATCAGGCAAGCAAGCAAACCCTATTCCGGTTTGGTCTTGATCTTTGGGTTTCCTCACAAACCGCTATTGCTTGCTCCACGCTATCGTTGCTTTGCGGCGACCCGTGCGACACGGTACGACACGGTGCGAGCGGCGGCTGTTCCCGTTGCAGTGCAGCGCCGGTCCGGCAGCCCGACGCCCTTTCGACGGAAGGAATCTACGAGGAGGGGTTGCTTACGCCACTGCATAAACGCAACCTTTTTGTAGCATTACGCAACTTGAGGTTTTACTTACGCGCCGCAATATGAGATGACATAACGTCTTAACGTCGGGCTTGTGCTAAAGCTTGCGCAGCCCTTACGCGACCGAAGCTTTTGCTTACCCGCAAGATCGTGCAAAAGGGTTTATCGAATGGCTCAGACGTCTTGCCCCCCGGTCGCCGGTCTGAGAAAGGATGGCAAGGAAGGTTGTTCAGTGTGCAGGGAATTGCAGGGAACATCCCGGAGGGCATTCCGAGTCCGGCGATCCTCACCATTCAAGAGCAAAGGCGTCAAGTAGCTTCTGCTCAGCTCAAATATCAAAACAAGGACCCCTGCACCCAACCCTCAGAGCCAATCCTTTTCCGAAAGCTAGGGATCTGTCTTGCCGACTTTAAATTTACCTACTTTGTTCTAACGACCAAAGGCTTCAAACCATGGAGACCCGATGCAGTTGTGGGTACGACCAGGGGTGTGAATAAGTCTGTCCTTCGGCTTTTCAACGGCAGTTGAGAACACACCGGACACCTCGGAAGACAAGGTGCTTTATGTGTTCGAAGATCTTTAATCCCAGCATCCAAGTGATGTGCTTTCAAACTTCTGGCAGCTGCTATGGCACGTCACAGGACGGCCTTTCTCATTTCAGCTGCGGTGGATGCCTCGACGCTGCGTTGCTGGAGTGCCACACCTGGCTTGTCCGAGGTCGGCAGCCTGAAAGTGAAAGCTTGTACTTGCTAAAATATACCTTCAAGAAGGCTGCAAAGCTTTTCGTACACTAGTCAGCCGCTTTTCAAGAATCAAATATTGAACCGCTCAATCTCTGAGGCACAAACCTGGAGGGAGCAAGACATTGGCTTGTCTGAATGTTGTAACAAATCAAAGAGCTGAAATGCTCAACATGTATTCTTGCTCAAGCCGAGGTTGCAAGGTGAGGTCCGGCTGACAGCTTTACACTGATATTGAAAAGACTTGAAAAGCAACCTGCCAAGCGGACAAAGAAGCATTCTTGGCGACTAAAGCATGTCTGTGAGAATATCTTTTGTTGCAGAGCGCTCCTTTATCACTTTAGATGTCTTCCCAACATTGCACCTTCACATACTGCAACGCATGCGCGACGCATGGTGCATTCGTGAGATAGGCTTGTTCACAGCAAAGTAAAATACTGAATGCAGGAAAAGCTTTCTGAAAGCACTTTCAGAGTGAGGCTTGCTCAAGCCGGAGCTACGGATCTAGGCTCGGCATGCAACTGATACCGAAATAAGAATTGAATGTGCATGTCGCCACTAAGTCATGTCTTCGACACGCAATGGCGACAGGGTCGGCAACAGAATGTTACTTACATTGTAAGTAGGCTTCCTTGTTGCAGCAGTTACTTCAATCTCAAGGGCAGGGGCGGTGTGGGCGTAGCGTACTAAATCTTACACTGCTGCGTGAAGAATGCTTACTTCACGCAGTACTCAGTAATTAGTTGATTGAATCTTTTGTACGCATGATTTGAAACCTGGGAGGCAATCTTTACACACCAACTCGAAGCAAGTGTTCAAGAGCCATCCTGGACCATCAATCATGCAAAATTTGAATGTCACAAATCGGTATCACTGGGCAAATCTGAAAGATCTGGTAACACCGGAAACATAAAGACCGTCTTGCCACCACACGCAAACGGCCCATGGGGCAAAACCCACCTCGAACCCGGAACACGTGCGCGTTGCCAGGTTGCAGTAGCATACTGGCATACGCTCGATTTAAATTCAAGCAGGTTCAAAGTTCTTTTGCTTTGCTTCTGGTGGCAGGGCGCTTCTAACCTAGCCCCCCTGGTCTTGCATCACCAAAAGAATGACTTAGCGGGCTCCTGCTGGTTCTGCTGCACACATCTGCCTTTAGGTCTATGCAAGGACCTTTGTAGTCATGGGGCAACAATTTACACCTGAGAGCATTCTGAAGGCATAATCAATATTTGTTGTTGCCCCATGCCACTGCAGAACTTGGAGAGTGTGACACGATCGAACGCTTCAATATCGGTCAAAAACCACAACGACCAGCACGAACCATACCTGACCTCTTATATCGACTACGCGATTGGGACTGTCTGACTATACTTCCTTAAAGAAACTGATCGCAGGAATGGACGAGGTGGCTGTGTTTGCTGCACTGACAACATGTCATCAGAGTAGTTCCACTGTCTCTGTTGGTCTGGGAAGGGGCCAACATACCATTGCAGCAAGTGCAAGCTCCTGCTGGTTCTGCTGCCCACA